AGCTCGCCAGACCGCTTTTGTATATTTTACAGTCGTTTTTTAACCGAGGCATTCTCCCCTCTGATTGGAACGTTGCGAATATATACCCCATTCAAAAGGGTCGATTTAGAACATGTGAAAACAATTATCTAGCAACTGTTTTGCCATTATTTCATGCAAATGAGTGTTCCCGAAGTTCGGTCCTGCGTTGTTGATGACAATATTCTGTTAAATGTATACATTGCTGACAGCATTTTAGTATCATGCTTACTTAAAGTTAGATATTGTACGCACCGTTTTCAACAGGGTTTTCAAAGGCATTGCCTATTGTCCTTAAAATATGCTGACCTATACTGACTGCCTATCCAAAGTTTTTGGCACGTTTTTATGGCCGCATCTTGAGTTTGCGATCGAAACCTGGACAATCTGGGCTGAAAACGACCAGAACCAACTCGGAAGAGTACGGATGCCAGACACAAAATGGGAAAGTGGTCAGGGGGCACTTCCGTAACAGACCCGTACAAATGACCTAGGTCTCGACCCTCTGAGTTATAGGCAATCCCGCGGAGACTTTATAAAGCTTTCTTTATCGCGCGTGGTTTGGACTGTGCCCTTCAGTGTGGTGACTTCTTTCAACACACCACTACAACAAACCTCGGTGTGCATTCGTTTAAGCTGCGCGTGCCACAACGAAGACTGGTTTGGATAAATTATTTTTCATAAACCGTGTATTGTGACCGTGGAATATCATGCTCGCGACGATTGTAATTTCTAAGTCCGTGAAGGCATTCGAACATCGCCTTCGCAGACACATATTACAACAAGTCTTTGCGGTACTATGTTATCCCTAAAACAGACCTGCTTATGTGTAACTGAGTCTGTCTTCACTTAACATTGTTATTTTGTCATCATATAATAATTATTAGTGATTATTTGATTTGTACGCGACGAATAGGGAGTTGGAGACATAAAATGAGCTGAACTGAACCCGAATGGATGCCTCTATAGTTGGTTGAGAGATATGAACTTACGTACAATGGCGTGGTGACGAAAGTGCCTCCGGCTGTCTTGTGATTTCTCCCCTGGTGTTGGGCGTTTTGATCCCTTATATGTCCACATGGCCAGGGCGATTCGGCCATACTCACACATTTTTCACTCAGAAGCGATAGCTTTTTCCCATCAAAACCCTCAAGTCGCACTCAGTCTTTGTCTTTTGGCAAAAAATGCTCAACGAGTCTGCCGCGCTGTCAGCTCATCCTTATTTTTACCTCTCACTACCTCCTCGTAATGTATGAAGTCAACAATAAGCAGATGTATTTATTATATACGTGCATCGCCATTAAAGGAGATGAAAAAGTTGCCATATTGAAGGCTTTCACGATGGGCCGAATAAAAGACTCAAGCGATGAGTCAGACCGATCGAGACTGATTACAATTTTCTTCCAGGATAATGGACGAGTCCAGCTACTGCTAAGCAGAGAATCTGCACTCTAAAATGTCCACATAACAGTTTTTCAGCTCGACTTTTCACCCGCAGAGGGTGAAGTGAAGAGGGCGCAAGGCGGAATTCCTCAGCAGGTCGAGCCTGGACGAGAAAAGTCACAGAAGACTAAAAGGGAAAATCATGCGTATCCAGAGGACATATCTGGAGGACGTTTTATAACCCTAACAGCTACGGCGTGATGGACATCAGTCCATCTCGATACGCTCCTGTCGGCTTTTGCATTTAATCACATGAAATGAACAGACGTCTGTATACCGGAGTTACTCAGGCCAAATTGAGGTTTTTGTATATTAACGCTCAAAATCCCGTTTCGCAGGTCGATGAGCTAACGGCCTTAGTTTCAGAAAGAAGGCCCGTTGTCATTGCCACAACGGAAACACGTCTTAAATTCGAAATGATAGATACTGAGATTTCGACACATGGTTACCAGCTCTTTCGCAGACGCCGTTGAAATAGACAGGACTGTGGGGAAATTTTCTATGCAAGGATAGGAATTTAGGCAGTGAAACATGTCCATAAGCCCTCCATTGTATATAAATTCGTATGGGCAAAGATACGAAGAGCAATGCAAAAAACTTCGAGTATTTGATGGTTTACAGATCGCCAAACGTTCCGATCGCATCTAACGAGTCACTCCTCTATTTGGTCAAGGAAGTAGTTAGCCACCAAGAGGTTCTTAGTGCTGCGGATTTCAATGCACCTCCAATTGAGTAGGAAAGTCGGGCAGTGGACGATGCGCCAACTTCCTTCAGCCGTAAGCTAATAAACCTCGCATTTGGCCTCCCTCTGACGGAGCATCTAAAGTCACAAACGAGATCTTAAGTGAGATGGAGGGCTAATTGCTTGAATCTAGCTCTTACGGAAGACTCCTCTAATATTGCGAAGTGCGTTGCAGTATATCTCTCGGAGAGAATGACCAAACTACGCTACAATGGTATTACTCTCTCTTCTCTCAGCGCCGAAAATGAACAGAATGCCAACTTATTGTATGAAAGGCAGATCTTAACAGGATACAGAACGCATTGATATCCGTGAATTGGGGTTGTTTGCTTGAAGGAGATTTGAAAGACGAGTGAAAGTCCTTTAAGACCATTTCACTCGATCTAATTCGGCGCTGCTGGCCAGTGGAGATACAAAAACGACTAGTCAACCTGCCTGGTTAACTAGGGAAGAGAAGTAAAACATGGAAGATATTCAGGAAAATTGGGTCACCAACGCACCTCGAAGAGTTTCGTCGGCAAACAAATGCAGCCAAAAATGCATCCGTCATGCAGGGAAGGACTATGAATCTAGAATTATCCGGCAGGTTGAACAAAAGCCCAAAATTTTATCCCACTATACTAACAAGTGCCCAGTCGCAATACTAAAGGATGACAGTGGCGGAGAAATAGTTAAAACGACGAGAAAGCCAAACACATGGGGCAATTATTTGCTTTGGTTTTCACTAGGGAAATTGGGTTTCGGAGTCGCATTGTCAGAAATGCTGTTGTGACCGCCAGTTCTGTGCTTGGATTCATATTCTACTCGACATCTATCATGTAAAGCGGGCTACAGATTATCAAGGAAACAAAGTCGTCGGGTCCGGACAATATATCGGGCAAATTCTTGAAAGAAGTGGTGAACGAATTCTCCAAACCATTAGCACCTATCTTTCATTCGCCTTTCGAATAAGGAGACTGCCATCGGAATGAAAGACAGCAAATATCCACCCGTTATACAAGAGTAGGGTTCGCGTTAGCGTCAACAATCACCAACCCGTTAGTTTCCCCTGCATCTGCTGTAAAATGATAGAAACCATACTAAGGAAAACAATAGTGAAGTTCCTGAATGAAAATGACTTACTTCCAGGGCTCCAGTAAGACGTCAGACAGAACAGCTCACGCCTTTTCAGTTTATTGCCCTCGATCGAGCAATGAACTCACGCACTGGACGAGGATGGTCGGATCGATACCATCTACACGGATTTCAAGAAGACGTTTGGCAGCATCCCACAAAAAGGTTAAATCTACACACTGTCCGAAATTAGGATTAGAGGAAATCTGTTGGCATTAATCGCATATTTTTTTTACAGGACGATCACTGACCGTGTGTGCTGATGCCTCGAAGTCAACTTCTACCTCTGTTCGAAGTAACTTTTTTAGGGCCCAGTCTTATGGCCGTTGCTACTTCGGGCATGCATTAGCGACTGCGTTGACGACCTTGGATGCAGCGACATCATGCTTGCTGAGGATGTCAAACTGCGGATACCCATCAGATATGACGCAGACAGGCACGCACTTCAAGAGAGTCTCAACCAACTGAGCAGCTGGTCAGCTCGTTGGCCACTAAATTTAAGAGAGAACATATGTGCGTTCCTGAGACTCCGCACTATAATGAGCATTAGGGAGGATGATTCCTTCCGACAACTCCCTGATGGGCTGCCCCTTTCAAATGTTGGAAAACAGAAAGACCTTGGCGTCCTAATGACATCCTCCCTTAAACCATCGAAACAGTCTCAAAAAGCAGCCAGACGCGCGATACGGGTGTTATTTGAGCTAAGGCGAGGATCAGCGCTTATCGATAAGGAGCTGTTCGGGAAAATCTGCGGAGCACTCCTTCGGTCTCACTTAGAACATGGCGTCTGGGAGTGGTGACCGTGGTTCAATAAGGATTACCAGCAGCTGGAAAAAGTACAAGCAACGGCTGGGAAGATGGTAAGGAATCTTGATCATCTGCCTTAGGTAACCAAATTGGCTGGACTAAATTTGCTTCCCCTCAATTACAGGCTACTGCGCGGGGACATCATTAAAACCTATCTGATTGTCAGAGATCGTCGGTGTGCGCAAGAATTTGATGAATTCCTCGAATTGACTGGGGCGGACTGGCTGTTTGGTCGTCCCTTTAAACTGCAGAGATAACTGGCTGAAATGGATGTTCTGTGGAATGCCTTCTCACAGAGGGTTATTGGAGCATGGAACGGATTGCCTGGTGCGGTGGTTCTTTCCGAAACTGTTGAATCCTCTAAATGTTGACTGGTCACTCAGTTACTGGGGAACTACCGGATATATCGTCACGACTGTGCCAGGAGGGGAAATTTGCGCCTTACCCACACATGCCGATAACTTGTGAATTTCCAGACATTCTGGTGTAACAGTTGCTTCTTTTGCTGTTTACCCATATAAATAGCGAGCTCAAGGACGAAAACATCATTCCGATAATAAACTGGCTTAAACTAGCAACTTCAGACTCTTTTCATCCGTTCTGGGACTTTTGTGCAGATTTTTTATGCGACGAAATTGCCCTTTCGGGTACTCAAATAAAACTATGTCAGCATGTGTGGCAAAGCATACCGTATGATCGCTAATGTTTCTGGTTGGGTACCCCATGTGCGATCACGCATACATCGGCATCTGGATAATCACTCCGCATAAATTGCCCGCGGAGGTTCCGAGAATCGTGTACTTTTTCGTCTGGGTTGTTTTGCTGGGTATTTACGCGTTTGAAGAGTGTTGTGACGGTTTCGTTTGTCAGCCACAGCATGATTGCTATGGAAATTGAAAATCTGTGTGATGCTCGTTGCCTCCATGCCAATCGTCGTCTCTACTTCATCGTCGGGACTTCGCCTGGTGATCACATCACGGAAGCGCTTTTGATATTCGTTTTCTTCCTTCTTCGTGAATTGCACGTACGCGAGCTTTGAATAGAGCAAAGTATAGAGATTCCGAAACATGTTCTTCGGGGCGAAGACAAAGTATCGTCAACGTAGTAAAGTCAAATGATAAGCTCCTGCTAGATAAAAATGGTCTTTTGCGGTCCTAGTAAGGTCAGCTCTGCCACAAATTGGAGACTGAAAAGCTGCTGGCGTGCTCAAAGGTTTCGCTAGCAGAGGTAAAGCGTGTTTTCTGCCAAGATGCGAACGACCCCATAAGGTGCTCAATTTTGATAGAGGGTTGAATTTCATCGCACGTTTCTTCAAGTTCCTTCATTCATGCGAAAATTCAGTGGGATAGATAGGAACAATGGCGTTACGTGGGAGGATACCTTGACTTCATCACATGAATGACCAACCCAAACAATGCCGATCATTTCGCAATGATAAAAGTGATGCGCACTTACTTATTTCTTCTTTTTTGAAGAGATGGACACACACTGGACCTGCGCCACTTCTTCGTGCTTCATGTGCTGTTTCCTCAAGCTTTATATTTGCAGTCTGCCTTTTTAATTCTTTTTCCAAATCCTTTAATTCTGACTGGTCAAAGACGCGCTTCGTAAAGGCCGAGGACGTCAAGGTTAGCACACGCCGAGGTATTGAAGCATGGAAAATGGCTCCTGGCTAAGACAGATATGGATACCGTCGTTATCTCGTCACAGTGCTCACTCATACGGAAGGAAAGAAGCGTTAAGCAGGCATAGAGGTGTAATGTGAAGTGATGGAAACTAGAGATACGTGTAATAATTGCTAAGTGCATAAACGGGATGAGCAAGTGCAAAGAAGTGACCTGTCTGGATGATAATGCGACACTGGCATGCTCGGTTAACAATCAACTTAGTACTCAGCGCTTTAGGCAACTAGGAATACGGGCCGAGGGCGGTGCCGACGTAGAAAGAGAGAGAGAGAGAGAGAGAGATGTAGGCTTTACGGCGAGTTGTGGAAAGGTGATCGTAGTAGAAAGAGGGGAGAACATTGGTCGTTTCCCCGACGCTTAGTTTCACCATCACTATCCTAGGTCAAAACAAATCGTAGGGCGTTACAATTACAATTGGGTCCTGTACATGAACTCATTCGTGCTGAATGATCGTGTGGCATCCTAAAATACAAGATCTCCGACACATTTAACACAATCTGCTCTTGTGCACCGACTGTCCGTCTCTTCTATTTAATAATAAATATTGGAAAATTAGCCGTACACTTTTAATTAGGTCATTCCTAGCCACACAATTAAAGAAGATGGTGAGTACCTCTTGTATCTTTACACTTTCAGTGTGCTGACTTTTATTTCTCAAACATTGAAGTTTGCGACAAAGGCGATCTGCTTAACGAGGTAGTTGATCGAAAGGCGCGCAGGAAAGACGTCAGGCGTAATCGCAAACTGGAGAAGTACGGAATTTTTACCGGCAATGATTCTGTCAAAACTCTTAAGAAAGCCCGGGCCTTCGAACAGCAGTTGGAAACCATTCAGAAAGAGGATCCTGAGAAAGCAGTGTCTGTCAATCAACGCAGATCATGGCTTCTTGCCAGACTTAAGGCTCAAGGTATTTTATAAGTATTTATGAAGTCTCGCTGCGAAGGTGTGAAAGTAAAAACAGACATTTCCCGCTTGAAAAAGTCTGCTCAAAAGTCTGAAGCTTTAAAGCGGAGGAGCTCTAAGGCGTGGAAGAAGCGAACAGATCATGTGATTTCTAGTAAAGATGCCCAACAGAAAAGACGCGATCGTAATTTGCAAAACCGCCGGGATTCGAAACGAGCGAAGAAGTATAAAAAACTTGTAAAGAAAGGCCACATTCTTCCTCAACTTCCAAAGGAATAAACTGGCAATCTATTTTGTACATATACCTTAAATATATTGCGTGCCTTTTCTCCTTCGTCACGCTACGGATTTCGGATTGTCTACTATGCCCACTTCCATTATCCTAGGACATGACGTACTTATTCTAAACCTCTAACTTTACATAATTGCGCCGATACTCATTGAGGCCTACTTATTGCTTTTTGGTCCATACTGAAGGACTGCCCATACAATAATTAGTCCGTTGTAATCACTAATGGCAACGACTGCCTCCAGCTCTTCTCGGCGAATTTCACGTGATGTGGGTTATAGGGATAGACTTGCAAAACACGTACGTAATTCTCCCCTAGCACTCACGCCACTTTTATACGACAAGCTAAAGTTTCAACAACTGGATGGACCATGGGCACAGTGACTGAGGAGGATTTTTTCACTCATACATGCGCCGTACGCATTCTGATCCCTTTGAGCACAAGAACGAGACTAAGATGTTGCCTTGGCTATCACTCAGATGAGAGTTTCCGCATGGGTCATAAGGGAAAGAAGCCATGTTTTTAAAGTCCTTAAATGCTTATGTATACATGCTATGATATTGTGTCTACAATTAACATTCGTGTATACGTGGGTCTGTTCGAACCACCCTCCTTCGCTTGTGAATGGGGTTCTGCGCCCTGTGGGGGGTGAATGAAACCTAGAAATTTCGATCACTGATGCCCGGAAAACGGTCTTTCGTGTGTGGCACCCCGACTTCTTGTCGGCCGATGCAGTCTACACAAACTGCGACCACAGCAACTACGTATCTCTGACCATCGAAGAAATATGGTTATGGCCGTTTGGGCACATTTTCGCCACCTATCCTGGGGTTCAGTGCTGCCGCCCGAAGTCTGGCGCTGCTGTTTAGGTTGTGGCGGCAAAGAAATCAGCCCAAAGCCTTGCTCGACACGCCCGCTAAGGCGCCAATTTTTTTCGCCGTAGAGAGGACTGTGACGATCTCACCATACGGCCGTTTCTGGCCGACGCAAGTGGAGTTCTATCGGCTGAATAGGTTACGATAAAAACTATGCTAATTGCAAATAAATTGCTGTTTGTCTTTCGGTTCGGAGGATGAGTGATTCACCTGGTCAGTTTGCCTATCTGTGCCGTTAGATACACCATGAAATCTTGCGGCGGGAACACTACGCAATATATCCGATCGGAGCGGTTGCGATCAACCGTATTACCATTCACCAACTTTAGGTAGGAGTCAAGTTAATTGTAATTGGACGCACTGACCTACGTGGAGTGCAACCGCTCCCACACGTGCCTTACACGGGTCGCCTCATCCAAACACAAAATTTGCATTGGGTCCTCGGTTCTCAACGATCGTAGTACATAACTCGAAAATACATCCAATGACTCAGCCGATGCTGGTTGTAAAAACCACGCCAACACTAGGTAAGCGCTTGATGTTGACGAAGCCTAAGGTCGTACGTAGACATCGTTAGCGATGATGAAAACAACTTCCGGAACAAAGTTATGTTTGTCATGGTTACACGAGCAGAGATATCGCTTCAGTGGCGAACTGTACGGGAGTCCCCTTGACAAGCAGGTTTGCATATGAGTGCGATCTCCTGGGGATTACTTTCTATCACTTATTAAAAATAAGACTGCGGCGGTCTCCCAAAGTAACCTAGTAAATTCTTATGGTTCTGACGGTCGTCTTCTATGTGCTACATAAACCATTGCCCATTTTGACTGGCAAGAATTTCGTCATATGGGGAATACGGGTACGTTGACTTGACCAGTAATACTTCCCCACAACCATCATTTGCTTCGGCTGTTTTCATTCGTCACGCTCCTACATGTAAACTGTCAACGGCAACTTGATTGCCGTGTCACCTACTTGTGCCTGCTGCAGATATGACCATTGCTCATCTAACCTAATCTTTTGATTTCTTGTCGAATCAGGTTTTGAACTGACTTCATCGTCGCCCGAGCGAGTCCACGGAGTTGGATTTGGAACTGTATCACCGCACTAGTGGACGGATGATGGCGAAGTCCTAGAACTCTCTTAGCCGTCCTAGATTTTCTGGGATATTTCCGGCAAATTGCCATACTTCTCTCCGTCTCATTCAGGACGAAGTCTGCCCCTCGCACAATGCTGATCACCCTGAACCCGGTGCCAGGAAGACGGGTTGCCCGTTAGCCTTAAGTGAAGGTTAGCTGCGAAATAAGCAGACCCAGGTCTGACGAATAAGCAGTTGCGGACCAGCAGCGACATTGCTACCAGGGTGCGGTGGGCTGAGGTCTGGCACGCTGAAACCCTTATAAAAAGCCGCAAAACTCAATGACGGCATTGTGACATGGCGACCGTAAACCGCCATCAAATAAGTTTACTTGCCACCGCTGCCTTGTGGTTAGGCTTTTCAGCCAAAGCGCTAGAGGATACAACCTCGAAAAAGCAATCCGAGCGGCTGTTGGGGACCCGCCCGTATTCGAAATTCCCAAGAAACCTCATGAAACATGTCCGATTACAGTGCTACGACCCTCGCACAGTCTGGTAGCCACAACCACAGTGAAGTAAACACAAAACGAGTTCCCGGCAATTACTGATTTTCGTGGCTATTGATGTCTCGAATGGTCCGTATGCACATCTAAGCTGGAAGCGAACATGCGAATCCCAGGCTCTTGTTGTAAAGAAGATAAAAAAACGATCTCAGGAATAGCAGGTGTATTAGTCTGAGCTGCTCACTTGATGCCGCATTTTCACATTCTCTGACGATGGCCTCCTGTACGAGACCGAAAGCTCAGACTAGTACACCTGCCATCCCAGAGGTCGTTTGTTTATCTTCTTTACAGCACATCTAAGAGTTTGGAGAAATCTGAGCAGCACTTTGCGGCAACTTCAGAGATATTTGAAACTGTGTACGTCGAGTTGACACTGGTTATATCGAATGTCTTCAGGAATACAGATTGGTAATACTTGAGCTTCGCGATGTTGGCAGACAAGTCTACTGATTTAGTGACCGCATTCACCCGCGACATTACGCTGCGATTCATAACCGTTTGAGGACAGCAGGGTGATACTATGGACGTTTTGAGGTCGGTTAGCAGACATGCCGGTGAAGACTCGGCAAGGTAGGCATTTCGTACAGTATCCGCAAGAATTATGTGATTTTGTTATATAGGGCCAACCACAGGACGCCTTCGTCTTCAGGCCGAATATTGAACAGGGTCCTGTTCGTAGTAAATCCCTCCTGATGCATCCTCGTATTGCTTGTAATCAGCAGTGCGCCTTAGGTCTGCGTTGGCTAGGGTACGTCCATTATCTTAGCAATTACAACTTGAGCCCCCAACACAGACCTCGCGAGTACCGTCCATTCTATGGGCACACCAATGTTGCACGACGCAGCGCTACATTGATTACTCACTTTGAGGAAGGAGAGCTGCGGTGGAGCTACTGAGAGTGCAGACTATCCAGATCGTGATAAAAACCACAACGCGGTCCCCACCGCTGACTTGGCAAACGACTTAGTGGAGCTTTCGCGCGGCAAGGAAATCAGAGTCTTGCGGGCATCGCTACCTGAGTTTGCCACCGTGTTACGATGCTGGTAGGAGTCATAACTGCGGGATCTAATTCAGACTGCCTTGGCAGGCAAGTATGACGTTTCTGAACTGGTCCGGTCACTGCGGCATCGCTGGTCTAAGACGGCATGTTTGCCGATCGCGTCGCGGACTGACTGACGAGATTAGTGGAGACCACTTGCTGTTGTCTGAGGCCAACTTTACGCTGTGCGAACACGAGGCCATTCCATGGCATGTCCTATGGGCTACTTATACGCTTAAATGACCGAACAGGCATCGTAAACCAGAAACACGTGTACGTACGAACTAGCCAAGTTGCTCCACAACTTTCGAGAAACTAACCATAAACTCACTTTCGAATCCCCAATGACAGTTTGACAGTCGTGGCCGACGGTGTCCACCGCGTGTTCCACAGAGGAGTGGAAGTAGGCACGGCGACTTACGCGTGATTTCCTTTATAACGACAGTAGACTTGCGCTGGGTCTACCACACTCTCCCCTCACCTGGGCCCGGTGTCAAGACATGGCCAAGAAGACCAGTGGTGGGAGGTCGAAGGCGGCCGGACCCGCATCTAGGCGTACCGCCACACCCCCTGGCCCAAAACAAACGCTTGGCCAGGATCTTAACCAAGAACAAAAGCGGCAGCTGACGCGACCGTAGCCGCTCACATCCCCAACAGACCATAAGAGAAGGGCAGAGGGCGTCCCGGTGGATTCTGACGAAATGATGGTATCGTTAGACGTCGACATCGTTCATTTCCGTATCCGGAAAACTAGTTGGTGTAAAAGCTAGTTTGATGTGCTGATGTCAAGTAGGGCAGCGCCCATAAACTCTTGCCTTGAAGAAGGCTTTGACTACGACAGCAACCGAGCCCTGGGGGGAGGACGCGGTTTTACTCGCTGACATGACACAGCGCAGGCCCGCGGGTGGAGAAGCGGAAGAGTGGACTGCCGCTGCATCTCCCCTTCCAACGGGTACCCCCACAGTGTATTCAGCTAAGACGCGGACAAGTCGAAAACAAGCCAGAACACCAAGCATCCCAACGGAGGCGGGAGTAGGCGCACACGGGTCCATAAGCCTCCCGCGGCAAATAAGCTCTGAATGGGTACCATATCTCACGTCCGGCAGAACAAGCCTTTGACTCAACCGTGAGAATGCAGCGTCTGGAGACTCCCCGGTTGATTTTTGGCCCATCCTACTGACCTTTGCCCTCCCAAAATATGC